CCCTGAATATTCCATAGTCTGAACAAACCAGCATAAGGCTTTTGTTAGAACTATCTTATATTTGATATTTTTCTATAACCATTACCATATTTTTCTGTCTGAAGCCTATTTGATTAAGTACTCAAAAAGCTCTGCTAAAATATATGTTGTTGCTGTCAAGTCAAATGACCATCCTCTTGAACTAAAAACTAATAATTGCAAGAATGGTTCACAATTGATTTCAGAGAAGTTAAATGCTTTATACATACTTCAGATATTTCTTTCCGTCTGCCTTTTAAACTTTGCAGAAGGGCTAATTTGGAAGATGCATGATTAATCACACATTAAGGATAATTTGTATTATTATAAGACAAATAGCAGATAATGGTAGCACCCAGAGGATACCTGTCAAGTGGCAAGCTTTTGTTGTTTCAAGTGCTATATGAACCATGGCTTTTCTGAGAGATGGGGCTTATAATAAATAGCCTGTGATTATGACTGAATAGCTATTTGTTGCTCAGTTAAGCTAGCTTTCAGGTCTTGCTTGAATTAATCACAGTAATTCGCTTACACAGTATTTTCTTTGACTGATAATCTATCCAGATTGCTGTGGCTTTATACAAAAAAGAGCACTTCCCAATAGGTCAGACATACATGCATGCATGCAAGTGAAACAGAATGCTGGGAGAGAACTTGGTCTCAGATGGATAACAATTGTTGTTTGTGGTCTCATTATTACAATAAAGGGACAGATTCACATCCAATCATACTTAGCTGAACTATTTATAATATGTCTGTACATTTCCTGTACAGTAATACATGTTATTGTAGTGCACTAGATACTTGATCATTTTGTAATTCCTAATAAAATAATAGCAGTTAGAAATTACCAAGCAGAATGGCAACATATACAGTATGTTTGATAGGCTGTATTTGGCTTTAAATGTGACTGGTGATACAGGCTTAGGACGGGGTGGGGAACCATGGCCCTTCACTTGTGGACTTCAACTCCCAGAATTCCTGAGTCATGCTGGCTTAGGAATTCTGGGAGTTGAAGTCCACACGTCATAAAGCGGCCATCATTCCCCACTTCTGGCCTAGGAAATACAGTATCTCTATTAAGGTTAATTCTTTTTAGAGCTCTCTCTTCCTATTTGTTTGCAAAGAATCCCAACTTACTTTTTTGAATGTGTTTTTCACAAATACACATTTTCATAAAAACACACTATTTTTCTATCCAAAATGCTATTCAGCTACTACCTTTCAATGTTGTCAGTGAAGATTGTCAGTAATCCAGGCAGAGATGTCTGGAAGCTGAGTCATGGCAAATTGTTGAAGTGTTTTGCTGCTTATCCAAGTAGTTTCTTCAAACTTTGCAAGTTGGTTAGGAGGAATCTGAGTAGGCATTTCTTATGCTGCGCTCTCACCAGTCCCCAGTAAAATTAAGACCACTTCACAGGTTCACCAGTAAAGCTACACTTAACGACCCCTAAGAGTTTTGGGAGTTGGTACGTTCCAACAACCTGTCTACTACTCAGATTCCCCTAAGCAACTTCCTCAATCTGAAAAAGCTACTTAGATAAGCACCAAAATGTTTCAAACCAATAAGAAAATAAGTGCAGTTGCCATGGTTCAACTTCCAGACCTTTTAATGTTGTTTCTCCACTAGTCACACAAAATATATGGGGACAAAAAAGCTTCCGATTTTGAATTATCTTTTTTTCTCCATTAAAAAGAAAAGAATTAAAGTAAAAGAATGCAAAAAGCTGGAATTCAGTAGGTTCATATACTATTTTGACCATTATATTAACTTCCTAGTTTAACAGGAAGATTTGTTTCTTACCAAGGAAGAATAGCATTAGCTATGAGTACATATCAGTAGGATGAACCTACATCAATAGTATGAACTTATATGCGATATTAACTTTTACACTTGATCATTTGAAACAACTTAGTTATTAGCTGATTGTAAACTCAAAAATTGTATAAGGACAGGAAAAAAGGATGATAAACAAGCCCTTGAAAAACAATACTTTGATGAATTAATCTTTTTAATATCCTAACAAAAACTATCAAACCTGTATAATATTCATACCTTTTAGCATAGAACAGTGATGGTGAACCTTTTAGACACCGAGTGCCCAAACTGCGTGCACGCATGCCCAAACTGAAAGGTGTGGCACGCGTGAACGTTCACATGCATGGACATGCGCAAACATGTGCAGATGTGCGCATGCATGGACATGCATGAATGTGTGCATGTATGGATATGCACAAATATGCGCATGTGTAGCAGAGACCCGAAGACCAGCTGGCCAGCGGGAGATGGGGCATCCCAACACTGGCAACCCGGCAAGAAGTAAGATCTTTTTCTTTCGTGAGCTTATGTTTCGTTGTTTACAGGGAAAACAGAAGCTCGCAAAAGAAATGCCATGGAGATCTGACCTGGGGTGATGGTGCGCATGCCAGCAGAGAGGGCTCTGTGTGCCACCTCTGGCACATGTGCCATCACGGGCATAGAACATTGATAATTGGGAATCAAACCAAAAATAGTATTTGAATATAATAACAGTATGTTCAAGCCAGTTTTATAGCTGAAATAGCCTTACATTGTCTACTAAAATATTTTAATGAAACACCTTGACTGGTGAAGAAATAATTACATTGTCATAATTTAGGCAAGCTGATATCTGATTAAACCTCTTTTTCACAAAAAAAAAAAAATAGCTGTCTTACATTAAGTATTTAAATTGTACATACATTTAATTTTGATTTCTGCATTGAGCAGGAGTTTGGACTCACTGGCATAAAAGAACCCTTTCAATTCTGTAATTCTATACTCAGTGCTGGCCTCAGAAAGAAGCCAAGATACTGGCCATTGACAAGTGTTGTGGGAGTTATTGGGAACTATGTGGATTATTAAGAGGGAACCATTGGGAACCATTAAGGTCTCTAGAGCAAGAATATGCATTTAGGCTGAACTGAAATAAACCTTTTTTCTCCAAAACCGAAATGAGAGCCAATATGTCTTGATAGCAGTAGGAAATTAAATAGAGAAAACAAAAAGGGGCTGTAAAAAAGGGCTTCAAATTAAAACCGAGCCTGATGCTATTTGGATATGCAAATTCTTGTGCTTTTCCTATCAACATTGGGGTAAAACATGCAAATTACTATTGTGGAAAGGCATTATTTTTCTATATTTGGAACTGTGTAGGCCTTGATGTTGAGAAGGCAAGCACTTCAGGGAATGATTTGGATGTTGTTGAAATAGGTTGGTAAACAGAGAGAACAGCAACAAAAATCCTGCTCAGGACACTTATTGTTTGTGATTTTATACAGTTTCATATTTACGGGATTTGCTGGGAATTATATAAGACTTGAGAACCTATCATTTATTCTTCAGACACAACTTATATTACCTGTCCAAACTGCTTATGCATTCATGCACCTGTTATCACAAAACAGTCTGTCCCAGCGGAATTCAGTGCTGCTCAAGAAAGGAAATTAGAGCAGGGCAGGGAATACAAGACAGCTCTAATACTAATAAAGAAAAATATTTGTAGCTCAGCACTAAAATTCTTAGTGCTCTCTGAGTTTGGTTGTTTTCTTGCAGACGTTTCGTTATCCAAACTAGGTAACAACATCAGTGCTACTAAGGAGTGGGGTTTGCTCCCAGTTTATATTCTAGTGGCTTGCCACTGACAGCTTTGATGATGTTATCTAATTTGGGTAATGAAACAGCTGCAACAAAACAATCAAGCTCAGAGAGCACCAAGGATCCCTCACTCTTATATTAGAGTATAGAACGATACTCTTATATAGAGTATAGAAGACAAACCAAGAGGTAGGAAGAATAGATGACTGCAGATCTTGTTGCTGAAAGTCATGGGAACCTTTGAACAGTAGCCATCATTTGAGAAGGAATGCTTGCCTTCTGAATTTTAAATCCATTTATAAGGCCTAAACTGGGCTTCCCTTCCCATTCCTTTTTTCCATCCATTCTCACTCTAATACTGTATATCTAATCCTTCCCCCTTAGCCCATCTCTATTTTTCCTTATTTTTGCCCCTCCGAAATGCATTTCTGTTTTTAAGTACTTGTGTGTTTCTGCAAGTGAGAATGGTCTGTGTACAAGGCTGATAATATTCAGATAGAGAAATTACTTTTATAAGTGATTTTGCTTAATTATTTAGGCAATTTTAACCAATGGTTACACATAGACTCATACAAAGATGAATCATATGCACTTTTTATTGGAAGTGGGGTGAAAGAATGTCCAGATTTCGATTTGCTTCTGAATTTGGTCTAGATGAAATTGGCATACTACTTAAGCTAACAAGAGGCGAATAGAAAGGATTACTTGGGGTGTTTGAGGTGCTTTTCTCTCTGTAGTTCAGGGTGGATGGGGATTCATATAAATTTAAATTTGTCCTCCTTTCTATTCCTTCTTACCAACTCTCCTGAGGAAATGTAAAATAGTCAAAAGCAAGAAGATAACTGGAAATATTAAAACTCAATAAAACCAGTTGTGTTGTAAATATGAATTCAATGTTCTCTAGAAATAAGTGTAATAAAATTAATTAATTAAATAAATTAATAAATAAAAGCAAATTCCAAGTTTAATGTACCAGCTACTTGGAAATGGTCAGTGAGAGAAGTTATTGTTTGTATAAACAAAAGATTAAAAGCAGAAGGTAGCATATATGATGGAGGCTGCTTATTCAAACTCTCTGACATTTAACTGTATTTTACCTTTCTTTTAAAATTATAACTTGGGGAAGTTCCTGTTCTGTCTAAGGAGGGGATTCAGATTAATATGATTTCTTTAGTAGTGAATATTATTTACAAACTCTTTAATAGGATTGTTAGTTTTGCAAAGTCTGATTCATATTCACTGAGAATGGGACAGTTTCCTTTTGTTGCCAATGGTATATCCAGCAAGACACAGTAGATAAAATTGAGAATGCCTTTGGCTTACTAATAATAGAATGACATTTTTTTTCTTTTTGGGGGTGGAACAGAAACGGAGAATATAGGACTAGAAACTGGAAATGGGTTGCCGTCTTGGAAATTTAATGACCAGCTCTTTCCTTGTGATGTATGTGGAAAAGTGTTTGGCCGACAACAGACGTTGTCCCGACATCTCTCCCTGCACACAGGTAATATTTTGTTTCTAAAATAAGATAGGATAGAATTTGTTCTTTTTTCAGAGAAACATTTCTTTGAATGCAAGTAAGAGTGAATAGAACTGGAATCACTGCAGTAATCATAGGCAATTACTTAAAGCCATCATTAAAATATATCCTTCTCCTCTTTCTGTGATTGTCTGGAAGAGCCATGAATAAGGATCAGTTACTGGAATATTCTGCATTAAATCCATTTATGTAATAAAACTTACCTGTCCCCATCCAGTTGCAAATCTAAAGGGAAAATAGGTCTAAAGAAAACCACATTTATAGAAGCAAACAGTTGTCTAGTAATGGGATATAAGAGGTAGAGCTGTCATTCCTCATTTTTAAGAATTCAGTTGCTTAAGAACAGAAAGATGTTCCCTTTTCTGTAGTCACGTCAGATCTCTGGAACATGATCCTACTGTGCTACGGGAGTAAATAAATTTTAAAAATTGCCATTTTTATCTTGATTATGATTTGATTTTTTTTGTTAATATATTTGGTTTTAACTCAGACTTTAATTTTTAATGTTAACTTAAATAATTTTGACTTTTATTATAAACCAGCAGTCTCCAACCTTTCCAACTTGGCAGCCTTGGGGGGGGGGGGTGAAACTGGGCCGCGCGAGCGGACACAGCCCTTGCACGAGTGACTGCCTGCTGGCCTGCTGCTCGTGCAAGTTGAGCTGCACCTGCACACACTCCAGCCAGCCACTCATGCAGCCCAATCCCGAATATACCATGGCCCGATACTGAACCACAGCCCAGAGGTTGGGGAGCCCTGTTGTAAACCATCAAGAGATTTTCACTAATCATAATCATGAGTATAATAAATAAGTAAATAATACTAAAATCAAAGTATCTTTATGTCTTCAATTCTGCACTGAAAAGTATTTGCTTATTTTCTCCCACCGATGAATGGAATCTGGAATTTTCTGTTTCTATTAGAAAATCTGGCCCCATTGCGTTATTCTATTGTAGCTGTACATTCAAAACTCATGTACCCTTCTGTAATCATACAGAAATGTGATTATTAGAAAATATTCCAAATAACTAACGAATATTATATTTGCAGGTGAAAAAGAACTGAAGAAATGTACTAATAGTATCCAATTAAACTATTACACTTTTTCTTGCAGAAAGTGTTATTTGTCTATAATAAAATATTAAATAGAAATAAATATAAGAATAAAGATTATGATCATTTTGTTTTCTGCAGCTATGCTTCTTTGAAGTATTCCAAACAATTTCTTCTACGATAGACTTTCCCAGTTTGGTTCAATGTGATGTACTGGATTTGGGTCACTGGCTAGGAATTGTAGTTGGGGGTCCAGGAAATTGTCCACATTGGGGGAAACTGTTCTAGATCATTGCTTTGTACTTAGTGTTTTAATAAAATTGCTTTGGTGTTTTAGCATGTCTGCACTCTTTTAAATTGCAGAAAGAAGTAATGTTTTAGTACACCTACTGTTTATTATTTTTTTAAAAATAAAATCAAAGTAGCAAATCCTTTTTAATCCCAGGGAAGCCCAGGGAATTTCAGTTTAAACTTGTCTCCTCTATTAATTGAAAGCTTCACAACTCTCACAATATCTCGGCTTCAAAAAATCTAGATAGCCACAAGACAGCAACAAAAAAAAAAACAAACCCCTTTTTTTTAAAGTAGTAACTTCTTACTCAAATATCTTGCAGCTGAGCCACTTCAGCTACCAAGGGGCAGATACAACATTGCACAGGTGTGAAAATTGATTGGTGCAAAAACCTTTTTGTGGAAGTTCCCAATGATTTTTTTTCTTAGAAAGATAAACTTTATATAAATATAAACTTTTATAAGAAAATTTGAGCATGTATCCCTCCTTTTGGCTCACCTGGTTCAGCAATTCTCCATAATGATGGAAGTCCCAGGCTCATACTTGTGACCAGAGATGCATACAAGAAACTCCACTCAGGATGTTTTGCTTTGTTTTTTAATATTTTTTTCCAGAAGAGAGAAAATATAAATGCCATTTGTGCCCATATGCTGCTAAGTGCCGTGCTAATCTGAACCAGCATCTGACTGTGCATTCTGTGAAGTTGGTGAGTACAGACACTGAGGACATTGTCAGCGCTGTCACATCTGAAGGCAATGATGGAAAGAAGCATCCTTATTACTACAGGTGAGGATCCTGGTGAAGACCAAGCTCAGGTCTCAGTTTCCGTTTAGGCTTGTTGGCTTATAAAAGAGCAACCACCATACTATTTACATTTAAGGATAAGGATGAGTTTATTTTGGCTTGCAAAAAAAAGTTCAAATCAAAGTAATTACCATTTTACAGTAGTACATCACATTTTGTACAATCCAAACAAAATGAAGTAAAATGAAACGATATAATTCTCTTCTTTCCAGTTTTGTTGCAGATATTGCTCTGCCAATTCGTGCTTTCCAACCTACTTCTGAAGCTACTTTATGTCCATTATATGAATGCTAGGGCAAATGTGTTTCTTAGAACATTCTGCAATAATAGATTGAAATTTGTTAGCTTAAGAATTGGTCTAGCAGGAACTGAAGCCACTTTTGCTATTAGTGAATTTTTGAACATTGTAATTGTGTCTACTGGGCAAAATCTTAACTTTTGATCTTCTGAAAACCCTTTGACATATGAATTAAACTAGGATATGAGCTATACTTTTCCAGTTATCTAAAATATGCTGTAACACTTGGTCCTGAACAAGTGCACTGTCTCATTTGTCTGCTGCACCAAGGTCTGGCCTGAAAGTCTGCCGTAGTCCGCACTTGGCATGCAAACTGTGGGTAGCCTGGAATTTATACCATGGGTAGTACTTTACTGGAAAACCCCAAATCACAAACACCTCAGTATTGGAAGTAGTAGCATGATTAAATTAATGGATCTAAATAGCAAGCTGCTGTAGCCAAAAAGTTTAATCAGTATTGCAATTCCAAGTGGCCATTTCTGGATTAATTGAATGAATTGGCAATTGAGTATCTGGTCTGTTAATGTTCAGACAAATTGCAGATAACTAAAATGTGTCAGGTGTAGAAACAGTGTTTAGTATAAGTATATGCATGTTATCTTTTGAAGCAAGACTCAATCAAGGCTCCCCACACCAGTTAAATTAAAACCTACAATTACAACTTAAAAATAATGAAACAATAAAATCCAGTAGTAAACAGAATTAAAAGAGATTACTTAAGTGTTCCTAGCCTAAAGAAAGCCTTATATTCACTATTCGATTAAAGTATATAGAGAAAGTTTTGGAAAGGGTTTTATAATTTGGTCATCCAAATAGAGTCTGGTGCACTGCTTAATGCACAGATCCAGATCGATCCATCCTCAATCATAGAAATTTATTGGATGACTTTGCCTCTAAAATATTATATCATGCTTCTAGAGAAAAGGCAGGAAATAAATATGTTTTTCCTTATCCCATGAACAGAGACAATTTTATGAGATGACTCTTAAAATTCCTTGGTCCAAGACTTTAGGACAGACATCTTCAACTTTCACCCAAATGCTGGACCACAATTCCTGTTCTCGCTATCCAGTGTGAAAATGGGGCTGCTGAGGGTTGTGATCCTTTGCAGCTAGAGTGCCAAATTATGGAAATGTGAGGCTTTAAACACCAAATCAGTGCTATAAGAGAAGAACTTGATTGCAAAATGTCCCTCACCACTATTTCTATTTGTGTATTAAGCTTTTGCCTAATCAGGCAGAAAAAGTTTCTGTGCCCATTTTGGCTTGCTTATATTAAGAATTCCAGACCTTTCTGTGTTAGATCTCAAGCTGACATTGGATATTTCCAAAGCTTGGGAATTGCTGTAAAGAGCAGAATGAGCTCCCCCTTTGTCCACATAGTAGCTGACTGAACATCTTGGCAAGACTGCAGCACATCTTATTGCCCAAAGGAAATAGCTAGGTGATGTGCAGCATCTGGAACCTGTAGTTGTTAATTAACTTTATGATTATTTAGCATCATTATAGCATGTTCGGGATTGTTGCCTTGTGCCTGCCCTTAATCAGCTTGGCAAGGCTGTCAGTTCAGAAGCAGTTCAACAGACAAAAGAATATCCCAGTGCAATTTTAGCTGAACAGGTTGTAAAACCAGGAGCTGGTCAGGATGAATTAAAAAAAAAAAAAAGCGATGTTCATCTGTATCACAGAAGATCCATAAAAGCATACTCTTTAATATTTCTTAACTTTCTCCTGCCTCCAGTTGTCATGTGTGTGGATTTGAAACAGAGCTGAATGTCCAGTTTGTCAGTCATATGTCGCTTCATGTGGATAAAGAACAATGGATGTTTTCTATTTGCTGCACAGCCTGCGATTTTGTTACCATGGAAGAGGCGGAGATGAAGGCTCATGTTGCCACCAAGCATGCAGGTGATAACCTCTCTCTGTGTCCAGGTTTGTCGTCTCCTGCTGCTGCTTCTGTCCCACTACTCTACATCAAGGTTTACTGATGCCATCCCAGTTTGGTCCAGTCATTGCAAAATTCTGATAGCCGCAATCTAAAATGGGTGATTATGGCCAAATGGATTTTATATTCTGACCCATGTTGTCTTATGCAAGAATGACATTGTACATTATTTGGATTCTGTTCAGCACCATGTGAAGCGTTTTTGAGTGCTAATTGCTGTCATTAGGCATGAGAATGCAAGAATTCACTGAGCAGCTCTTCATATTTCTGACTGCTTTTGCAAATGCTTTGTAACATGGAATGTAGATGTAGATAAATTCTTTGCAGGCCCAAGTAGTAATCTTGCACACTTGTGTGGGTATGTTTTCATAAGCACCTTGATTGTACCCCATCATAAATAAAAATGCTAAAAATAACATAATGAACTGCTTTTGACATACCTTCATGTCATGTCACCATCTGGATGATCTGTTATATTAGTTTCCTATCTTCTCATTCTCCTGCCTGTAGCTTTGAAGCTCCTGCTTCAATGTACATTTATGTTTTATTTGTTTAAATGTTGCAAAAAAATATATTTGCATATTTGTGTATATTTCTCCCAATGTACACATGTTTACAGTTTTCCTAATATATATGTATTTTGGCAAGCAGTTTTGTTCTACGTACTTATGCTTTTATCCTAGTACACATTTTGTAGGGGTTTTAGAGCTAAGAACTGCATAACTAGATTTGGAAAAATGCATATATTGGTTTATAACTCCATTTGGTTTTGTCTCTAAATTTTGAACTGTGAACTATACAAATTTCTATTAAAATACAAACCAAAATAAGGCTGTTTGCTAGACCAATATTTGCTTTCCTTCTTCTCAACCATGTTATCTGCAAAAAGGTGCATTGCACTGAACATGGATGCTAAATAAATTGAGAAGGAAAACCATTCCCTCCCAGTGCCCCCTTTCCTCTTTCTTTTTGATGAGTAAGGACTCATACTTGTTCAAAATGGAACTCCTTTTGAAGGACAGTATCCTTCCCTTTACTTTTCTTCCCAAATACTTTGGAGTTCTAATTCAGATTGGAAATAGAAGACCCATCTACTAGATGTACTGCAAACCCTATTATTTATTTATTTTATTATTTTCAGTGTTGGTGAAAAAGGATTTTGTCAGGCACAAACATCTTTGGTTAGGATGTTAATAGGTTCCACAGCTTAATTTCCCATTGGTTTTCATTTTGCCTAAAGAATAATGTAATATAATTTGTCCAATTATAATTATTTGAAACATTAAAATAATTAGAATCCCAACATTGTATTAAAACTCCAATTCCTATGGGCGGTGCCTGGAAAAGTTAGTCATACAATTTCTGTCATTGATAAAAGAAAAAGTAAGTATTTTAACCCTATTTGGAACTCCACATATGCATAAGGCAGAAGTGAACAAGCTAGTACTTTTTTTCTGGATTGAGGAGCAAGCAGATAAAGGAAATAGGTGAATGTAGCAATCCCTATATTGTCAATGTGCCCCTCTCAAAGATCCTTCAAAAGTTTGCCATTAAATTATAATGCCTAATATAACAGAATTGGAAAAGTATTAAGCATATTTAAGCAACTTAAATGTATTTAAGTAGTTCAGCTGTAATTACAATCAGCTGTATATTAATTAGATTTAGTTGTGCCAGGACCCTGTCAACTTCTATGTTCTGACCTCCATTGCTTTTGGGAGGGCAGTCTCTGGCATGTCACTCAAAGGCCACAGCCTTACTGCTTTAAAATAACTGTAAATTGGTGCAAGTGGTACAAAAACACCATATACAGCTAAGTGTATTTTAAAAATCATCGATGTAAAAATGCTACTACTATAAGTGGGATACATAGAACTGTTCAGCCAAATAACAAATATCAGTCCAACTACTGTTCCCAAATATTAAATTGTCTATCAATGTTGCATACACAGGTTCATCTTAAACAGTCTGGACACAATTGTCAGGTTTCGAGGTCGGATTCTTTTAGTGTTTCGAATGCCTGTTGGCAGGCCAGGTATATGGAAGAGATTACTGTAAACTTGGTAATTACAGAAGGAAGAAGAAAAGGCAGCATTTTGACTACAAAAATAAATAAATAAAAAAGCTAGAAGCCTCACTTCACATATTAATAAATGTAGAGGCGATAGAAACACTGAGATAAAAGTCCTTCCAATCCCGTCGTCTTTTTTGCTCTCTGGCTCTTCAGAAACAAGTTCAAGCTGGCTGGTGATCATCTTTGCCCCAGAAGATACATCACAAGATTATTAGTTCACCCTTGTTTTGCAGAGCCTACAAAGTAAGATCAGGCAGGCAAAAGAGATGTCCATTTGGGTTTTAAATCTAGAATGAGATATATATTGGACACTAACTTCCCCAAAAAAGTTCTACTTCATTTCAGAAAGGAAATCATATTTAAAAAGATCAAAACTTCCTGCCAATAATTTCCTTTAGCCATGTACTCAATCAGCCCACATAATGACTGTGCTGAAGTGACTCCAGGCAACTCCAAAGCACACTTGACCAATATCTTAGGGGCATTCTTAACTGTTTTATCCACTGCTTCTGATTTTATCTGTTGGAAATTTAACTTCCTTAGCAAGGCTGGCTTTTACCCTGGCAGTTCCAAAACAACATTGCTAACAAGTGAAACTATAAGAACTCATTAAATTTTAATAGGCACCTATGGTACAAGAAATGCCATATTCCTAAAATAAAGCACAAAAATTATATCAGTGTAATCTGTGCAATAAATAGTTCAAAGCTTAGTTTTAGATAGATGATACGGTCAGCCTGGGGGCTCTGGCTACATTCTCAGGGTAGCTAGGCAACCTTCTCTCCCAAATCATATTCAGCTTAATTCCCTTATATTAACTGTAAAATAAAGTTGGTGCAAAACTGCAGGCTAATTTAACCTAACCCAACACTAGCCATAGCCATAACATAAAAATATGCTGTTAAACAGGGCCATTTGACTTGGTCAACTTATTAATTTTTTATCTCCTTAAAATGCAAATGTCTTTTGCAGAGCACCTACTCTTCAATTTTCCAGCTGCTCAATAGAAGGACAAAAATAAACCAGCATCTACCAATGTCCACCACCCATCCTTAATCTGTTTAGTTTGATATTTAAATCAATTGACCTTTTGCAGAGGGTGTGGGAAGGATTGTGAAGATAAATTGAGCCATTCGGTTTACTAAGAGAGACAGAAGTAATAGCTTGAAGAGCTTAGTTACAAGGCAATATAGTTGTACCCAGGAAAACTTAAATTTGTTTAGCTTAATTAATTAAAGAGGAGGCTGCATTTAACCCAGTCAACTTAGATTTGCACAGTGTAGGTAGGGATGCACAAAGAAAGATGTTTCTATGTATCAATTTCTGAGCTGAATTGCTTGCATGCTGATTTCAATAAGGAGGTTAATGTTTGATTTTTATTTTTTTTATTTTTTTGTAGGTGAAGAAAGGAAAACACCCAGTGATTCAACCAGTCCTTCTTCTTCTTCCTTGTCAGCACTTAGTGATTCTGCCAATAGTAAAGAAGATGCAGATATCAGCCCCAAACCCAAGGGATCCAATAACCTGCTAGTTATTTCCGTAGTGCCTGGTAGTCAGACTTTATTAAATGCGGAAGAAAAATCAGAGAAAGGTAAAAAGTTGGCGAAGGAATGCAAAGTGACTCCCTCCACTTTCTCAAGGCTGTCGTGCGTGACTTAGGTAATAGTGTCTGTAATTTCCTTCTGCAGGTTTTGAATGTGTTTTCTGTAACTTTGTCTGCAAAACAAAAACCATGTTTGAGCGCCATTTGCAAATCCACCTGATTACACGGATGTTTGAATGTGATGTGTGCCACAAGTTCATGAAGACTCCTGAGCAATTACTGGAGCACAAGAAATGCCATACTGTCCCCACTGGTGGGCTCAAGTAAGGAAAGCAAGTACACAAACTTTTACTGTGTTAAGTACCTTGATCACTGTGGAAGTAGAAACGGAGATACTTGCATGGGAGAACATGGAAATGTTGGGGGAGATAAAGCCAGAGAGCTCATTATGAAGAACAAATGTAAGTTGCTGTAAATCAGGAATGGGCAACATACAGTAATGTGTGGCACTTCTGATGTTGCTGAACTATATCTTTCAGCATCCCAAAGAAACATGGTTAATAGTGATGGTGGGAGTTGTAGTTCAGTGCCATTTGAAATATCACGTTACCTAGTGGCTACTAGAAAACAAACTCATCTGGTCCCCTTAGGTGCACTGATGCTGCACTAAATAGGAATAACAGTGTTGAGTACTACTGTTTTTATTTTTACGAACAGTGGCATAAATGTTTGGTGTCTCTGTAGCTAAAATAGGTTGCATAGGGTCAGACTGGGACTAATACATTTTCAGATATATGAAAATTCTCAAACATTGTCTTATGATAATGACATTAACAGTTGCAAAACTAACTAATTCAAAGAAATATAGACAAACATATTGAATGGATTATTGTTGATATAAGTAAATATTATCTACTGTTGGTAGGTCTTCATGGTATGTTACAGAGATACGTTACATTACCTATAAGTACTGTGTTAGCTGGAAATTCTGAAATGCAGTCCCAATGTATCTGGAGAATGCTAGGTTGACTAATCCTGACTTATTTGATAATTTTTAACATAAATTACCAATGATGGCTTCAAATTTATATTAGAACTCCTTTAAGCTATTGTTTTCAGCCTAATAAAGACACAAATGCTACCACAACATGGTAATCTGGTTCGAAATGGAGTAGGCACATGCCATCTGTAGTACCAGATCACACCTGGTTTAAGTGTTTCCTCCAAGAGTTTCAGTGAATTTTAACTTCTTCCTGTAAAAGTTTAGAATTGCTCCTTTCAAGATTTAGAATCAAATTAAATAATGTCATGAGGCACTTCCTTCATTGTGAAATATAGCGTACTGCTTTTAAAATTTCTCAAAGCATTGAGCATGATTAGCATCCCTTGGATGAGAGGACTGTCCCCTCACAAAAGCCAAAGAGTTCTGCCACACTCTTCTTCAGTAGATTTGCAACAGAGGATTTAGCACAGCCTGTATAAATCTCACCTTTTTGCACAGGCAGAGACATACAAAAGTTGGGCTTCTCAAATGGAGTTGCAAAAGACTAAAAACAGGACAAGCAAGCATTTTCTTCTGCACACAGATGTGCACAAGAGGAAAAGAACCATGTGGCAGGATGGGATGAATATTTAACTACCCTCCAGAAACTGCCAGGAAATTGCAGGGGTATATTAAGAGCAATGGGAGCTAGTCATGAGCAGCATTTTTGGAGGGTGGGGGTGGTATATGATCAAAGTCAGTATCAAGTTCAAAAAGTAGTTAATGCACCCTGTGAAATGGATTTATCTGCTGCTGAATCACGGTGACTATATGCAGACTACAATTAACTATTCCAGTTAGCCTATTTATCTCACTATCTGTAGTTTGCAAAAGTACTTGGGCTGCATTATCTGATGTGAATAAAGTTAAATCTACACTACTTTATGAAGTTTGAAAATTATATTTAAAGTAATTAAAATATTTCGATGTATAGAGAAAATATTTTACTCAAATGTTGGGAAAAGTGATAGACAGTAAGACAAATAAGCAATTGCAACATCCTATCAGATTCTCAATTTTTAGATTGTTCTCCTGAAAATAAGGTACAACTTTAAAACTGCCAAATATTCTTGAAGTGGGAGAACATTTTGCGAAAAAAGTTTGATCCTGGAATATTTTCTAGCCCTTATCCCTCTTGTCTTTAAATTTAAGAAATAGAGCAGATGAAAAGGGTTCATCCATCTACATCAGTCAGTTCTGTGTATTCTTAGATTGTATTGTGATTTCATGTGTTCAGCAATAGGAATGGGGATCCCTTTGGGATGGAAGGCAAGGAGACCCTATAGAGCGTGACGAAATGTAGTATAGCCCCTCCCTTTTCTTGGGGTTTGTTGGAGTGATGTTTAGGAAGGCAGACAGATGCTGCACATAAGCACCTTATACTTCCAATGCTCCTTTTTGCCTTGTAAGGTTGAACTGCTGAACAGATTTATTAAGCAGCCCCAGAAAGTCCATGTCATACAAGAGGAGAAAATACTATAGCACTATAGCAGAGAAAAGAGATTAAAACAAAATCTGGAATTTGAGCCCATAAGGAGCACTTGCCGCATGAGTCCTATGCCTCAACCAGCAGGTTGGAAGGAGTGGCAGATTGCGTCCCTATTGTGGCCATCAGAATTGCCCTTTGTTTCTCCAGCTGCTGCCAACCAGCAACTCATGGAAGGCTTTTGCTGCTTCAGCACCTACTGTTTAATTTTAAATATTACTTGGCATTGCAAAAAAGCAGCTGGCATTCTCCTGAAGTCTCCCTTACAAGTTCAGCCCACAGTTCACTTGCTATTTAATTTTGAGTTTTGCAATGGCATTTGCTTCTTTTGGGCCAAAGTCACTGAAATACAGCACTTTCTGGTCTTCTCGCCTTTGCAGTGGCTCATCTCGAAAAGAACTCTTTTCTCCAAGAGGCATTGAGGGGCAAGGTTACCATAGAAAGGATTATATCGCCCTATTGAGACAAACTATCTGTAAAGTGTGTTTTTTTAAAATAGAAAGAGAGAGGTGGCATTTGTCAAGGTAAAAATTTTAAAAGCAAGTTGAGAGGTAGACATTGCAGTGGGGAAAACCTTAGCAATATGGTTACACCAAACTCAGTAAATGTTTGTTTATTAATAAAACGTTAGTGATTGGACTAAAGCTGAATTAAAAGCTTCGTTCATATTTTATATTCTGGTTATATCAATATTGCAATTTAAAATGTATCGTTGGATATATCTGCCCATTTTCTGCGTAGTCAGATGCTGGAAAAAAAAAGACAATAGTTTAAAAATTGATTTTAGAAAATGCAGGGTTAGTAGGTTATGGTCAGGCCTTGTGCTTTACACACACACACACACACACATGCTTCCAAGGGATTTGATCAGTGATATCATGATGATATGAACAACTGGACTGAATCGTAGCCCTTTGAGGGATTTGGGGAGGGCAGTGAAATATATAGTCATCATTTTGTCCTGGTTTGATCATTTGGAACTTGACCCATTCAGGGCCCTACAGCAACCTTCTTTCCCCCTCATCTGTCACTCCCAAAGTGGAGAAAAAAATCAGCCTGGTTGTTCAGAGAGAAGAATGAAATAGTGAAGTGAGTGGCTTAAATTTCTGCAAAACTTTAGTCACCAAATTTGTCATCCCTAAGGAAACTAAAAACATGCTATAGAAATCAGCTCTTCCCACTCTGAGGGACACAAAAAGATTCTGGGAACTCCATATGTGGTGTAAGTTGCTCCCAGCTTATCTAGATCCCTGTATCAATCTATATTTTACATTTTCACAGGTGTCCCTTCTGCATTTATTCTACAAACCGTCCCGCAGCAATGGAATGCCATTTGAAAACCCACTACAAAATGGAGTACAAGTGCCGGATCTGCCAAGCAGTGAAAGCCAATCAGCTCGAGCTGGAAATGCACGTTCGAGAGCATCGCCTTGGCAACCACTACAAGTGCGATCAGTGTGGCTATCTTTCAAAGACTGCCAACAAGCTGATAGAGCATGTGCGTGTGCATACAGGGGAACGCCCTTTTCACTGTGACCAGTGCAGCTACAGCTGCAAACGCAAAGACAATCTCAACCTGCACAAGAAACTCAAGCATGCGCCCCGGCAGACCTTCAGCTGCGAAGAGTGCCTCTTCAAGACCACCCACCCATTTGTCTTCAGCCGCCATGTGAAGAAACATCAAAATGGAGACTGCTCTGAAGAGGAAAAAAAGGGGCCAGGTGTGAATTCTACGGAAGCCAGCCCCCTGCTCATGGCCAACAGTTCCCGCAGCCTCTTGTCCCCTCTCTCAGTGATGTCAGCCTCCCATGCTCTACAGACAGTGGCCATGTCAGCCGCTCAAAGTGGCGGGGCAGAGCCAAACCTGGCTCTGAGGGCCTTGACCATAAACGGCACTTCCCTGTGCTTTGATAAATACCGGAACTCTGAGTTTGCCCACCTCATTCCCTTGACCATGTTTTTTCCCAAAAACCACTTTGAAATCACATTCCATTCACCTCAACCACAGACCCTACGCTTGGATGATACTTCGTCGAAGCACTCCTTCCTTGCCTATCTCGGACTAACAGAAAGAGCAGAAGCTCTCTAGGACAGCCTCCTCTGTACCAAAAATCCTCCACACCGCACCCCTGACACACCCACCAGACTCCAAGCAGGTTTTATTTCAAACCATAGATCCAAGAGTTTGGCTGCCCAACCAATTGTACAATATATCGTTAGTGGTAAGTTACAGCAAAGAAAATGGCGCCACTCGTCTCCTTAATACATGGCCATGAAGGCTGCTTTGTTAAACCTTCAGACAGACGACCTCCTGCATATTTCTACTTTCAGAGGCATGTTTCCATACTCTCACCTGAGAAACATTTTTGTCTCTTTTAAGCTGAACAAGAGTGTCCTTAATGGCAGTCAGCACTAGCTAAGATGACCCTTTGATGCATTTGACTTTGGGTTGTGAATCTGAGCGTTTCTAAAAAAGAGTCTGTGTGCCATGGCATTGCTTTTGCACATCCTTTTGTACTGGCTTATTTAATATGAACTTAAAAAGCTGCCTTATGCTGCATCAGACAGTCCATCAAGCCCAGTATTGTCTATTATGATTGACACCAGTTCTCCAGGATAGAAGTCATTTCTAGCAGCTGCTTCCTGAGATTTCTTAACTAGACATGCTGGTGGCTGAATCTGGGATCTTTATACGTACAAAGCATGTGCTCTACCACTGAGCTGTAGCCCCACCCCTGTGAAATATTGCAGTCATCCAGGCTTGCTCACCTTGCCTGCTTCTCTTTTACTGCTCAGTTTTGGAATGTAAGAACAGCGATCAAGAAGAACTAGCTTGGCAGTCAGTCCTGCTGGGAATTTGCTATGTTAATAGCGGCTAGGTTAGTCTCACATCTTGATCAGGGCAAAAGCAGAAGAGGGGAAATTACTTTAGCCTTGCAAGGTGATGCTATTTCATATAGTAACTTTTTTCTTACATGGAGATATTCTGTATGGCCAGTGCATGTACACATGTAATATGAAGGGCTTTTCTCTGTGTACACATTTGGGTAGCCAAGTTTTCATACCTGCTGCTCCGTGGATTTATTCATGTTCTGACCCTTCCCAGCAAAGAAAACACTCCTATTACCCTTGAAATAATACAGTCAATGTGATTATCTCTATGAAGGAAAAAAGATAATGTTTAAAGCAGTCCTGAATACATAAGAGTGATGTATGAGAAGGCAGCTAGATTTATAAACAAGTGCGTTGTATACATGCCCCCAATTTGATTGTTTGGTTACATTCATGTGACTTGGTCCTTTTTAAAAATACTTTTGGATATAAATACCCAAGAGCAAGGTACATATGATAAGGCATTTGTTTTAGACTGGACATAACACATTACATTTAAATTGCTGCTTTCCTTGGTCAGATAACTGGAGGCAGAAACCTGATCATTTTGCCAACTTGCTTCTTCTAGTCAACAAAGAAAAATATCTGATTCGAAAATATGTGCACTATTCAAATTTGACCAGGGCGACTACAGAAAAATATAGCAAACAGCCCTCAGGCCACAAAATCACATCTACACATTCTCAGTTGGTCTGAATGCAGTGGTTAGCTTAGATTGTGAGGGTAAGGATGCACATTTAGAAGTGATTAAATCCAGAAGAAGGAATTTTAAAAAGGAAGGATTTCTTAAATTCTGGGCATTAGGGCTCAGACTAAATAAAGGCAGGTTTTGCACAGTGGTTGAGTCTTGCACTAGTATGTTTCTCACTAGCAAAAAAAAAAAAAAGTAAAAGTAAGAAACATATCAAAGATAATGTTTCTTTTTTTTACAGAAAAATATGTACATTTGAAAAGTAAGTGCAAGTTCTTTCAAATGGAAGCAGAAAAAGGTGCTGTTTAATTATAGAATTCTCTTTTATATGTCCAACTATTCAGCTATACTGGCAACTTTGTGTTCTATCCCCTTCTCGTTATTTGTATTCCTTTATAACATTTGCTAATGCTTACTCAAGTATACTCTTCTAGGAAGGTAACTTTATATTTTCTTAAGGCTCTTATTTTTAGTCATTAAAATGACATAAATATTGCACTTTATTGCAGTAGAAGCAAATGTTGCATTCCTAGTGGTTGATCTAAAATATTAACATTTCCTAAGATTTTTTTTAAAATGCCCATGCACTAAACATTTACTATAAATCACTATCATAAATGTTTTCCCCACTAAAGAAATATGAGGGAGGGGGGTGTTCAAAGATCTCAAATCAGAGAACAAGGAAGGAGAAAGCCTAAATACTAGCCATTTATAACACTGATATAACATAAGCATGGTCAAAATAATGAAAGTTCATGAAGTTTAAATCTCCTAAGAAAAGTTTTGGGACCCTATTTATTGCACTAAATTCTGATAAAAAATACTTTCAGAAATTTTGGGAACTATTATCAAAAGGATGATTAAAATAAGGTTGATGTAATGTGATGAACTAACTGTGACATTGCAATGCCACTCAGGTGGCATTGCAATACTATGCAATAGTCAGCCTCACTTCTTGGAGCCTTCCCCAGCCGTTCATCGTGCTGGCAGAGGCTGCTTCAATGTGGAAACCCAATGCACCCTGAAGACATAAAATAGAGGAAGGCTGAGTTTCTGATCCTGTTCCCATGACATGATTAACCATGTGTCAAGTTATAGTCGCCACCATGTTGCTTGTGTGCAAGCAACAATCAAGGATGTATCGGTCCATGGGATGGGAGCCGATGTTTTAAATTGGGCCCCTGTTGAGAGGGCCAGAAGACTATTATTTTCTGTTTTTCCTTTTTTTCACCTTACATCAGAGTGAAAAAATAAATTCAGAGAAGGGTGTTTTTATCCATTTCCTACCTGTGCTTTTTTCCCCCCTGCTATGGAAACCAAATCAGCCATATAGATGGAATGTCTAGGGGGAAAAAACCTTCACAGGCCTCTCTAGAATTTCATCCTACCCTAGGCAAAATCAATGTTAAACCCATGGCCAGCAGCAACATGGCTAACCAGAGGGATTTAATTTATTCTTTGCAAGCTTGCTTATGGCTAGTTCTAAGTCCCTTGTGTCTGGTTGCTATCTCAGTTAACCCATAAGTTAACCCTGTTGGCCAGATAAGTGTCATGGGGAAAGGGCCATTAATAACCCCCTCCTCTACTTGTTTCCAGTGATGCACATCTTGGGAAATAGGGCTCCTGCGCACCCTAACAACCTCATGACTCCTGAAGCCTGGCAACAGAAGACTGGTAAAAAGTGGGATGTGATCTGGAATGTGAAAGCTACATAGTACTCTGTCATATGGGAGTAGCGCAGTGGCAGATCCAGCTGTGCAACAGTAATGGTGTTCTAATAGTACAGGTGGGATTTTGCAATAAACAAATGATCTGGCCAATTTCTCTTACCCAGAATGTGGCTGCAACAGCATTGCCAAATAGTGAATAAGAGTTTGAGCTCAATTATCTAATCCGGCCTCCCCCAACCCAGTACCTTCCATGCATGCTGGATTACAGCTTTCTTCCATCCCAGACAGCATACTTTGGCCGTGATTAAAGTTACGCATCAGTTCATGTGGACGGTACCAGACTGAAGCAACCTAAGCTCTGGAGGTTTGGGAAACTTGGTTTGGGAGTAATCTTGAAGCAATTATTTAGCTACAGTTGCCATTAAAGTATAAGCTTCATAAATCTCTTCATCTGATGATTTTGGAAGAAATGAAGTTAATGCCACGCTCATTAGGGAGCATAATAATTTAGAATGCTAACAATTTGGCGGGGGGGGGGATTGGAGATTTCTTCCTACAAGTGGCTACTGCAGTTTAACTACATATATTCAAGGTGTTTTAAGATAACTTCCAAACAACCAGCGACCCTATAAAAAAGAAAAAAACATAAGTATTGTGTCAGCAAGTAAGCTACGCATGCATAGGAATGTTATAAACATGTTTGTCTGTAAACCAAATAGTGCAATATACATAGGGGATTTCAAGGAATGAGAGTATTATGATGCTATGAGCAATTTAATGCCTTGGGTTTAACCAGTTTCCTTTTGTATTTGTTTGTCATAGTAATGCTTAATGTAATTGGGCAGCTTTATTTAGCACTTTGACCACTGAATTATTTCTGGAAAGTTAATTATGCATTGTTTCTGTTTAAGAGGAAAAAAAGAATTTGAGGTGTTTTTATTTTTTTAAGAAAAAATATACAGTATTTATCAAAGCCCTTGCATACCCAAGAATTGGTTTGCTGTTTGACGCTAAAACTAGGAATGCTCACTAATATACCTTTTGCTTGTTAAAAAAACTTAATGTTTGTACCAACAGTTCACTTTGTACCTGTTTTTCCCCACTATGCACTCCTTAAAATAGGCTGGCTTCTTGTTTTCAATTGGTTAGATTCTCAGCACCTTTCTTGCTTTCCCTTTTTCTTTAACTTGCTGTATCATATTCAAATATCACACTGTCAAGGTTTGTGTACATTAATGGGAATTTGTAATGTATAAAGCTTTTTTTGCATTATAAGGCTGTACAGGGTCATTTTGACAGTAATTAGTATATTTCTCTGCATCTTACGTTGCATTGCCAATTTCTAGTGTATCCAGTTTGGAAGTATATATACTCAAATTAAAGCAAAGTTGTCTATACTCTGCCACCAGCTTTGTCTTTCTTTCAGCATTGTTTTATTATTCGCATGTATTGAGACTTGTTCTAAAGTCCATAATAAAGTTGTACTTATACTTGCAACTCCCTAGTTCAGATCAAAGTAGATTAGTGAAGGCTGTTGCTGTCTTGCTCTGTTATTTTTTAATTTTATGCACAATTTAATCTATAAAGTCCTGTTGTTTGAATGTCACTGGGCAGCAGAGGAGATCTGAGGGGGTCAGAATGGAGCTATAGATTATGTTATAACTAAATGACCAATGTTGCATGCTGGTAACCTCTTTTGGCACCTGTCCACCAAGCTCTATTCTCCACCTGAATATATAATAGAGGGTTTCTTTAGTATTTTTTAAATTAAAAGGTATAATATAATATATGGGAAGCTAGCATGAAAGAAAGTGCCAAACTCCAAACAACCTTTATTTCCCAAAAAAATCCTGACCCAATATAGACCCTGATGCATTCTTAGAAAATAGAAATAATACTAGTGTTTTACTAGAAAGAAGACTTACCTGCCCAAGAGAACAGGATGGTAGGAAACAAACTAACCAGTTTGCTCTATGGTGAAGGTAAATGGTATGATTGACTACGCCCATAATGCCTGTCATTGGCTGAGAATGTTCCTAGCAAATATCCCAAATTCAAAATGTATCTAAAAGAAACTCTGAATTTAGGATCATCCAACTTTTCACATTATACATATTATTTTTTGTTTATGTCATTTAATTTAGGATGCAATCCTGCAAGAATATTCCTTAAAAATATGACTGGAGGACTTATTTCTGTAAACCTATGAATATATAATACAGATACTGTAGAATCTCCTTTTCTTTTTTGGGGTTTCCATGAAATAAGGGATGTAGTGAATGCTCTTCTCCAAGAGTTTAGGTCCTGCAACAATAAATTGAACATTGGCTTTATCTTGCTATACAGGGAACAAGCAGTTGAAAAAATCAAACACCAACAACCCATTCAGGAGGTGGCTTTCCCCCTCCTAGGAGAGTTTCCCGAAAAGGAGAAGACAGCTTTTATTTATTCTTTCAGGTTTTCATCTTTTCTGAAGCTGCTGAGAGTTGTAGTTCAACATAATCTGAAGACTAGAAAATCCTCTTTCCTGATCTGAATCATAAAAGATTATATTTTTCTGGGATATTTTTGCTAAGAGATTCCATTGCTAGAATAAAAGCAGCAAGAATAAATGAGCATTCTTGTGTGCTGCCTTGCTAGATAATTTTTTTTTTAAATCAACTCTATTAACCCTAATTGTAGCTGTCAAGATTTGGTACGTAGGAAAAGATGTTTATAATGATTCATATCCTTTTTTCTGTTAGTTTAGATTTAAAAACAAAACCCTGATGAAATCCGTTGAAGGCTTTATGTATATCTAACGCTGTAAGGCCAAGGGATCTGTCATTAACCCTGCAGTAATAGATAACACCAAGAATGAGTCTGATGTAATCTGAGAATTATACTTTATTGGATATTAACTCTAGCAGTTCAAACAGCTGAGGTAATTTTAAAGTCTAATTTGCCTACATGATTTCCATGAAGTATGGAGGCATTGCTGGCTTATAAACTCTTGAGATTCTGGAGACCTGACAAAGGTGGGTGGAGAATTCTGTCTAGCTTGTTGATAGATACTTGACTGTAGAATGTTACTACACCATTCTTTTTTCATACATATATGGGGTGGGGGAGGATGTCACTAAAACTACAGTGCCTGCTCTAGGGACTGTTAAAAGTTTTGCATCTATTTGTGGTGCTTCCTTCCTAGAATATTACAGTTTCTAAAAGTGTATTGATCCTGTCAATGGAATCAATGTCTACTTTGTCTAAATATGCATCCCTAGGGTTCTTCAGCATGGTAGCTTGAAAATGCTGCTATGCAGTGCAGGAGCCAACTGCTAGCTTATTGAAAGGGCTGGCCACACACTTCCCAAAGCAATTATGCCTTAGCTAGGAAGCAGAATAGAAGTGGAATGGGAAGTGCCTTCTTTGGCACCAGTAGCTGGCAACAGAGGACATGGAGTGTCCATGGAGACTGGAGTGTTCATTCTGTGGGATTAGGAGTTTGGCACCAAAGGAGCTGTTCCTTCTCATTTCTCTCCTGCCTTCTGCCCTCTGTTCCCTGCTTCTCATGCCAACCATGGCTAGAGAGGGAGTGGGAAAAAGTGACCTGCTTCCCCTCTTTTCTCTCCACCTCTTTTCTTTACACAGGAAGAGAAAAAAGTAAAGTGGGTTTTAATGGTTTTTAACAGTTTGTATTGCTTGTATAATCTTTCTTGATGGCAATAGCTGGCCTCAACTCCATGCAAAACTAAAGCATAGGGTTGATGCTAAACACTTTTAAGGGAAAACAAAGCAGTGAGAGAGTTTTTGCATGCTGACAAGAGCTCTGAATTGCACACGATAACAGGAAGTAGACAATTGAACAACTACTCTTGCATTAATTTCCTTTTGGAACTTAAAACAATGCATTGGGGCCAATAAATCTTAAATATTTGTCCCCTTTTATTCCTTTACTTCTAACTTATCGCTGCCATCATTATCATGCAGATTTTTTTTTCTTATTCGTGCAATCCATCTAACTTTGTGAATACAGTTTCGAACCTGATTTGCATTTGAGCAACACGGGGATTATACAGTAAGAGATTTATACTTGCAAGAACCCATGCAATATATGAAGCTCCCTTCTGAATGTTTATCTTGTCTCTCATGAAATCAGGAGTTGCATACACTTCAACCTCACTTATGGGTAAGTGGATTTTTGCTTGCTTTTATGAGATGCATCTCTCACAAGTCCTCTTTTATTTAAGAACCCTAGGCTTTCCTGAATTCTGCATAATAAGATTGCAGATAATTCTGTTACCTTTCTTAGCACATTTACATATTTTTATTTTTAGAGAATTTTCTAAAAAACGTGTCTTTATTAGCTTTCAGAATAGAATAGCCTTTCAGTTTTTAAATCCAGTTTTTAGAAAAAATTTTTAGCACTTCTCAAGTTGACTTTTAACCCAATGATTCATCCTCCAAAGTAATTTATTATGGGAGTTTTTACAGGAATTCTTGGGCTGTCTTGAAAAGGCACTAACAATGTGCCACTGCGTGTTACTGTACATTGGACATTGAGACCCTGTGGTCCTGCAAAGTAGCCTGAACTGCATTCCCAACAGCTGAACAGGTGAATCAGCGTGCAAAGTGTAAAGGAATGTGAAGAATTGCAGTTCAGCAACACCTAGAAGACCACAATTTAACTACTCTTGCTATGAAAGTGATTCAGAAAGTGACTTATGGACACAGTATTTCCCTGCTGTTCGTTACAATCTGTCTGGTGGAAGGAATCTAGGAAAAAAAGCTGCTGTTATTTTAAGGAACATGCCAATTAAAGTTAACATGGCTAGCAGTGATTTTTTAAAAAAAATCAGACTCAACATAAAAGCCTGTGAAAAGTTAGTGATTTAACAATAGAAGAAATGGGTTGAAGCAAGGTCTAAAGTGCTTCTTCCAAATTCTTTTCCAAGTACAGGTAGTCCTCGACTTATGACCACAATTGAGCCCTGTATTTATGTTGCTAAGTGAGAAATTTGTTAAGTGAGTTTTCCCCCATTTGATGACTTTTCTTGCCAAATGTGTTAAGTGAATCACCGCAGTTGTTAAATTAATAACACAGCTGTTAAGTGAATTTGGTCTCCCTACTGACTTTGCTTGTCAGAAGGTCACAGAAGATAATCACATGACCCCTGGACACAGCAACCGTTATAAATATGAGCCAATTTGCAAGCATACAAATACAAATCACGTGACCATGGGGATGCTGCAATGGTCATAAGTCACTTTTTTCTGTGCCATTGTAACTTTGAACAATCACTAAATGAACTGTTGTAAGTCGAGGACTACCTGTATTTGAAGCCCTTACTTAATACTCCCTAGACGCCAGTTTCTCTTCTATTGATTTCCTTCCTCACACCCCACTTAATCTATTCTTTGCTTCTTCAATTCTTCCCCCTACATTCCACATGTGTACATATTTTGCATTTTACATTAATCGATCTCAAAAAGTCACACTAAACATGATTATTCACTTTTTTTTAATGCCAGAAAGGGCATTTAACTACAAAAAGGAATTTCTTTAACTGAAGTATTCATAGAGAAAATCATCGTTGAGGCCAAGTGACAAGTGTGAGGACAGATCTTTACTCTTCATTATTTAAACAAAGACATGCAACAAAAATACTTAATCCTTATTTTGCTTAATCTGCACTAGATTGCTGAAAGTTATATTCGTAATAGAAATCAGATAAATTCATACTTTTAATTTCTTTGTTCAATCAGGCAACAAGACAGTAGCGGCAAGTAGCTATCCTTTATTTCACGTTACTTAAAATGAACCTTTGAAACGTTTTATTTCTGTAACCAGGCCATATGGGGTACAAGAGGGATTGTGGAGATACACTGGGCCTTCTTACCCCCACGTATGCATCTTCATCCAGGTTGGAGGGTCCACCATGTAATGTCATGTATTTCTGTTCTCCTTGACTAATGAAGGAGAGTTTGGCCATCCTGTATACCTGTGAAAAGTAAAGCTTCTGGAACTACCTACACATTTGGAGGATACAGGCCACGGATGAAATGCTACCGGTTCGGACCGGTTCTCTCAGACTCGGAAGGCTTCAAAATGTTCCTTTTTTAGCGCTTCATGGATGTACCTCAGCCCCGCATGCACACAAAGCATGCGCTTGATAGCAGACTCACAGAACCGGTAACAGACTTCAGAGGATTTCATCGCTGATACAGACAATGACCTCTGACTCTCCTTTTGATACAATTGTACTGACTCCTTTTATTCAATTAATGACCAAGGGACCTAAAGGCCTTATCTATTTCTGTACTGTCTGGATGCATGGAAACTACAAGTCCCAAATCGCCAACAAGCATGAAGGCTTATGTTGAAAAATCTACAAAAGGAAATTTGATGTGCTATTTCTGTTTTTCAAATCTTTTCTGTAGAAGCTGGGAGAGGATTCTTCCCCTCCAAAGTGGGAAAAGCTGAATGTCCCTGCCACCATGTATGGAGCAAGGGACATTACTCCACAATAATGGAGAGTTGCAATGACATGGTTTTTAAAAAAACTTCTTCTTTTCCTTCACACATGAATGGGGTCTGTAAATTAAATTTGGACTAAAGAGTGATGTGTGTGCGTGTGAAAGAAGTGCTACTTTGTCTATTTTTATGATATCTGTCATTTTTCCTCACGTAAACGAATTCCATTTGGGGATATCATAGAAAGCACGTTTCACAGAGAACCATTTATACCATCTCCACTCCACCTCTCTTTGAATCCTCTTTTTCCAAAAGTCAGTAACTAATTCTAAGAAAGTAAACAAGCATTCACTCTGGTCTTGGCATTGCGATAGTCAAGATTGAGATTTATTCACTTCTCCATTTCCAACAGCTGCAAGAAAAGAGAAAGAAGGTACTGTTCAGTTTTCAACTTGAATTATAACTATCCCATGGAATTCAAAACATTAGAAGACAATATGTATGGGATGCCTGGACTTTTTATTATACTGATTCAAATCAGTTTTGAAATTTGCTCAGATCCGGGGAGGAGGGGAATTCTTTGATATCTTTGTGCATAAGAGCACCAGCGTGCCTACCGTCCCTGTCCTAATGTTTTCTTTTATTCGTATCCTTTTCGTGTATTTATAATTATGTTTACACTTCTACCTGTCATAAAATACATGCTTGACGAAACCAAAAATAAAATAAAATAAAAAATAAATACTTGGATAACCTATTGTGCAACTGAAATTAGAATTAGAATAACAGAATTGGAAGGGACCTTGGAGGTTTTCTAGTCCAACCCCCTGCTTAGGCAGGAAACCCTACACCACTTCAGACAAATGGTTACCCAACATCTTCTTAAAAACTTCCAATGTTGGAGCATTCACAACTTCTTGAGGCAAGTTCTGCCACTGATTAATTGTTCTAACTGTCAGGAAATTTCTCCTTGGTTCTAGGTTGCGTCACTCCTTGATTAGTTTCCACCCATTGTTTCTTGTCCTGCCCTCAGGTGCTTTTGAGAATAGCTTGACTCCATCTTCTTTGTGGCAACCCCTGAGATATCAGAAAACTGCTATCATGTCTTCCCTAGTCCTTCTTTTCATTAAACTAGACATACCCAGTTCCTGCAACCGTTCTTCATATGTTTTAGCCTCCAGTCCCCTGATAATCTTTGTTGCTCTTCTTAAGGCACAGGAATCAGGTCAGTCTTCATATTCTCTATCAGCCCTACACAGAATGCAGGCACATCTCCGGCTCCTTCCTCTAGATCCATTATAGCTATGCTTCATAAAACTTCAGGCAAAAGTAGTTTCAGTCACTTGTAAATGAAGTGATGTCTAGGATCACTACAAACCGGTCAAGTAATAAGAACAGTATTTTTGAAACGTGGCAACTTTAAGATGTGTGGACTTCAACTTCCAGAATTCCCCAACCAGCAATTTACACATCTTAAATCCACATATTTAAACTTGCCAACTTTGAAAAAACCCGATATATAGCCCAAAAAAAGAGGTCATCTTAAAAATCTTTGACTGCAGGGGTCTGCATTTACCAGAAACTGAATTTTTCCTGTGACATGCCATCCGCTCAGCAGATCCTGGCTGCACGATGATGAAGCAAAGTTTTTGTTCCCAGTGTGGCTCCCTGTCATGAATGAAAAATAATTCTTTAAAATGAAGATTTTTATCCTGGAAAATACAGTAGAAGAAAGAAACCTCAGACAAGGTGCATTGGAATGCACTGCTCACCCTTTAAACTGGCATAGTTTATCCTCTTCTGAATTGCCTCAAGTGGTGCTAATGGAGATGCACTGGCAACTGCATTATGTTTAATGTAGTAGGTTTTTTTTTTTTTCAAAAAGGAAAGAAACAGATGGTAGTGAGCCTCTAAAACTCACATTTTTTTTAAAGTAAAATATCTATTTCTGCCACTGCATGCAGTATTTATGAGGTTTTTGTTTGTTTATTTTTTGCCCTAGATTGTAAAATAATCAGGCACTAGTGCAGCATCTGGATAATCTACACTTATTAAAATATCTGCATAAGAAGTCACTGATAGTTCAGTTTACTTATGATGTAGAACATTCACTCTGTACATGCTCAGGGTTATTCTTTATTCCCCTGATAGCAGGGCACTTTCTCAAAAGAATCGCAACTGCAGTGCTGAAGCTGAAAAAGCAGAACACTGAATGCAAACACTCCCCATTGTTTCCATGTTCAGCTTCTTCCTCACGGAGAGAAAACAGTAATTATTACCCTGGCTGAAACACCCTCTCTCTTGTCAGAATTTAATTTGAAAAGTGCCTCACTAGGAACATGGTCCCCATCCTGTTATGCCAGGAATTACATACTGTGCCTTTTTCATTATCCTGTTGTGTTATGCAGTACAAAAGAGCAGATCTCAGGCCACAGAAAACACAATCTAAAAATTTCTAAAGGTGGATAATCAGGGGTGAAATGCTCCCGGATCGTACCGAATCGCCTGATCCAGTAGCGATTTTTCTCTGCGGTTCACCCAATCCGGTAGCGATTTTTCTCTGTGGTTCACCCAATCCGGTAGCGATTGCTGCAGAATTATGACTATCATTAATACCTTATGATTCTTGACGAATGTATCTTTTCTTTTATGTACTCTGAGAGCGTATGCAGGAAGACAAATTCCTTGTGTGTCCAATCACACTTGGCCAATAAAGAATTCTATTCTATTCTATTCTATTCTCAAATACAACTATATCACTATCTGAATAGTGAATCAGGGATTTCTAATTAAGACTGAGATATTACAAAAATTAATCATTTGTTCTTTGTTTTTATCCTTTCTTCTATCTATGCATATTTCACTAGCCCATCTACCTTAGACACAGATGTCTTCTGTCACAAGATTGTTTATTTGTAATCAGACATTTGAAAAGAAGAAGAAGAATGGCTGAATTTGTCTCATACACTATGCATTCTGCCATTACATTCTTAATTTAGTAGGAGATTAAAATGATCGTCCACAAATCTATGATCTATAGATCTACCATATCCAAACACATTCTTCCCAGTTCTTATAGCTCAAAGAAGCAACTATCTATAGCAAGGGTTCCAAATGAACTTAAGAGTATCTGTAGCCATCATATTTTTGTAACTGTCTCCCATGGAACTCCTTCTCATGCCCAGCTTTGCTAAAATAAAATAAAATTCATTAAACATCCTGGGGAGAAAGAATCTTATACCAAAAAGCACCTTATCAAGGTGTTGGTTACCACCTTTAAAGTACTCCATGGCTTAGGACCTGGGTATGTACGAGATTGCCTTCTGCCACCGATAGCCTCCCACCGGCCAATACAGTCCCACAGAGAGGGACTCCTCAGGGTGCCGTCAGCCAAACAATGTCGACTGGTGACACCCAGGGGGAGAGCCTTCTCTGTGGGGGCACCTGCCCTCTGGAATGAACTGCCCCCGGAGATCCGTATGATCCCCGACTTATGTACCTTTCGCCGTGCCCTTAAGACTCTCTTGTTCCAACAGGCCGGGCTGGCTTAGAAAATGAATTTTAATTGGGTGTCTGTAGTTTTTAATACAAGGGTCAAATTTTTATATATTTTAAATTGTTTTTAAATTTTATGGCTATATGTTTGTTTTAATATGGCTGTACACCGCCCTGAGTCCTTCGGGAGAAGGGCGGTATAAAAATTTAATAAATCATCATCATCATCATCTTTGTAAAGTCACTTTTCCAGTCCAAATTATTTTTTCTATCTACTGACTGCTTGTAATTTTCTATATATATATGCATATAAAAAGAAATGGTCCTTGAAACCAACACATGTTCCAATATCTAATGCTTGACTTGTTTTCTTATTTTTCTTATTTCTTGTTTTCTTTCTTACTTATTTTCTCTGGACAGACTTGGAATTTTTTCATGACACTTGAATCCTCTACAAAATTAGGATGAATTCCTGGGGGCATAAAAGAGAAAATGAAGACCTCTTTCTCCCTTCATTTTAAATCCAAATCTTTAGAAAAATACCATGAGAGATTCAATTTATTATCAATTGCAAATGAAAAAAATCACTCAGCTGATAATATGCAAATATAATCCAATGAAAATTATTTCATTCATCATTGTCTTAATACTTTGCCACCTGATTTTTCTATTCAGTGTTGTTGTAGGTCTTTTTTTCATTAAGAAGATATGTAGTATGTCTCAATAGCATGGGGGCAAATTCTGACCTCAATCACAAGAGGATTTCCCTCACATCTGCTATGGGTTACTTAACTCCCAATTGCAAAACATTGACTGCAAACAAGTCCTGGTACATTGCAAGCATCAAAATATTTTAGTCATTCTGCCTTTTCTCCTTTTATCTGAACTTCTATTTTCAATAGCGTCTATATTTCCCTGTGCTTTCATTCTTCATTAGACATACTAACTGTTGCACTCCCTCCTTCTTTACTCACATTATACTGTATGTTCACCCAATCAATGTAGATATGCATTTGGGGAGGACAAAACAAAGAAAAAGTGGGTTTGGCTTGCAGTAAATTGGAAATTACTTGAAAATTAAGACGGTTGTGATGTGCTAAGGTTTTGTATGACATTTCTTGCACCCAATGTATTTTAGCTCTTAAGAGGAATATAGCATGTAAGCAATTCTATAAATCCTCTCCAGGAAAGCTATAGGAAGAATTTATAACAAGGATAGGCACTATTTTATCAGTGGTAGAAACTTGTGAACTTATAAGACTTCGCAGAGTCCCTTACCATTAAAGCTATTTTTTACTTTTGGGGGAGGGAAGGAGACGACTATGCACATTTTCAACCAAAATCTGATGGCAACTGCTTTTTTCTAATTATCCCTTTGCTGCAGAATCAATGCTTGTCTCACATTTTTATTTTAAGTCAGATCAGGAAATCATGTAAAATAGGGGTCCCCAATCCCCGGTCTGCGGACTGGTACCGGTCCACAGCCTATTGGGAATTGGTCCACACAAGCGGCAGGGGAGTGCACAAAGCTTCATTTGTGCAAGAGCTGGGTTGCCCATGCAAAACCATACTCTCCCCCGCTGCTCCCACTGCTGCCAATCCATGAAGCCAAAAAGGTTGGAGACCGTCGATTAAATGACTGTCCCTGAGCTTATGTGGAGGGGTCCCAGTTCTGATCAGGCTGGAGGACCTCGTAGAGGGGGATGCAACTCAGGTGTGAATTATCTGAGTCAAGGTTGACTCAGCCTTCCATCCTTCCAAGGTCGGTCAAATGAGGACCCGGATTATTGGGGGAAATATGCTGACTCTGTAAACTGCTTAGAGAGGGCTGTAAAGCACTGTGAAGTGGTATGTAAGTCTAAGTGCTATTGCTATCTGCTCCAGAGGTGGTATTCAGCAGGTTCTGACCAGTTCTGGAGAACCGCTACCGGAAATTTTGAGTAGTTCGGAGAACCGGTAAATACCACCTCTGGCTGGCCCTGTCCCCATCTATTCTCTGCCCCCCGAGTCCCAGCTGATTGGGAGGAAATGGGGATTTTGCAGTAACCTTCCCCTGGAGTGGGGTCGGAATGGAGATTTTACTGTATCCTTCCCTGCCATGCCCACCAAGCTACGCCCACAGAACCGGTAGTAAAAATTTTTGAATCCCACCACTGATCTGCTCTACTGCATGTAATACATTGCAGGTTCTACCGGTAGCATTGGTATTGCTAGACGAAGAAGGAACATTATCTGTTAAGGGTGCACTTCCTTAGGAACCACTATTGATTACAATTAGGGAACTAATCCTGTGATGCTGTTACCTCTCTCTGATATGTTGCATAAGTTACTAAATAAGAGATATGTAACTGTGCAAATCTCAGGAATTGTAAGCCACAGAATTCTGTACCGTATGAAAAAATGGGTTTCATGTAAGGAATGGAAGAATATTTGGTGGATGATTTCCCCTGTGAATGTTTTCTTTCTAAAGAAGATTGGGCAGTTTCAACATGTTTTCTTAAAAAGTGTTTAAATCTAACAAGTAAGAGTCTTGGTCTTTCAGACTGAATTAATGAACGTTTGTCTTATATTATATGCTTCTAAGACTTTCTTCTTTTGCCAAATAATGGCTAGATTAACTATATGTTTTCATGTTTTAATTAAAATGTGCACTTTAACATCATCTTCCACTCAGAACAAGATAGCTTATGGCGATTAGTTGAGGTGCTAAAACTTGGCTAGGGGCAGAGAGGGACAGTCTTGCCTATAAGAAACAGCAGAAATAGATAATTTTTACAATTTTTAAAATTGGCAGTGTTGACATGCCTGTCCGTGTTGGAGATGCTTTTTTCCCCTCCTCCTCTTCTTCCTCCTCCTCCTCCTCCATTACGACCTCATCTTCCTCCATTTATTAATTCATTCATCAAGCCTCATGGGGTGAATGGAGCAATTGCACTCATATGCTTTGGAATGAAACTTTATTTGATTGTCTGGATGTTGCTAATAAATCAAAACACATTAAATCAAGCTTGTTTTGAAGCTGCAATCAATAATATAGTTATTCAGTTTTCATATCTTTAAACAATGGTTGTTATATTTCATCATCTTTAATTTCTGCAGTACCTTTTCTATTTCCATAATGTTCAGAGAGATTGTGAAGTTGTTTTACCAAAAAATACCCTAGAGAAAACACAAAATGAGATGTCTTATTTAACCAATTTTAATGTATGAAGTCCATTTTAAAATTTGTTTAGCCTCTTATACTGCACAGGGTTTAATTCATATTACTAGAAGGAAGAGTACTGAGCTAATTTTACATATGAATTACTTAGTATATATTGTGGCTATTTTATAAGCTAATAATACCTTTTGATAAACAGAGGAAACTTAAGGAATGAAGAAGGAAGACTGTATATCCTTTTCTTTGTGCATATATCTTCTCCTTGACTTGTGAACAGATGTGAACATAGTTATTGAATCCAAAGAAAAGAATATATCCAGAAGCCCCAACAGAATTAAAAGAATACCTTACTCTAACCAGAAAAGTTGGGTAGGGAGAGAGAGACATAAATCAGCTAAACAGCAAATACTTGATACTGGATAATATCCAGTCTGGAGAGTTGTTGAATCAGCAATTCAATAATAAATTATACTGTCCTCAAACAAACATTCTGAAAAAGAACAGAGATATTAAAGGATATTAAAGATTTCGATAGAAATTTGGGACATCATTTTTCTTGCAGTATCTCTCTTCTACAGTTGACACTATGCCCACAATGCTACAATAGACAAGATGGAAATAATGAAAAACAGCAACCTTCTCCAAAAAATTGGCAATATTGTCTCATTTATGATTGCATGGCAGCTATTCATAACTCTAACTCTAATTTGGTACTGTATGACTTCAATCTGGTTTTTGATTAAAAACAGTTAAGAAGTTAAATACATAAGATGAGGAAAGACCCATGCCTTTCTTTATAAATATCACTTCAGTCAGAATTTGGCTAGAAACCAATACTGTGGCATATTAAATTACTGTCATTTTAGCTAGTGAAGAACTCATGCAATTTTATATCAGCATTAAGCCAGTAAAACTGGAATACTTTGGCCAATGAAAGCCTTCTCTGAAATTATTTAATTTCCTTTTCTGGGGAAGAAGAAAGAGAATTTACCTTGAAAAAAAGTTATCCAGTTTCAGACTACTCTGCTCACCAAACCGCCAGGAAACATTTTTGGTGACTTTTTTCAGCATTGGTACTCTGACTTTATTAATAAGAAAAGATACATGAATAATATACATGTGTCTATGTGACAAACCTCCACTTTCAATATGGCATGAGAATGCCCTGTAAACTGTCTGGTAAATTAACCTCATGTGAGCAGACCTGAGTATGTGGGATGAAGTTTCTGCTTTCTTCCAAAAGCTTCTCTCTTTATATAGTGACACAACTGGTGAAAGTTAGGCTATATCTTCATTCCATCACATGTGGTTAGGAATATGCATTTAGTCACAAGATAATTTCCCACTCACTTAGGTCATCTTGTCTTCGCCATCTCCCGGTGCATCTGGCGCCCTCTCTGGTCACGGGCTTGAGCGCTTACATACATCAGTTCGTCTCCACTGTCTTCTGGTGCATCTGGAGCACCCTCTGGTCCAGGGGTGTCAAACGCAAGGCCCAGGAGCCAGATCCAATCCGCGGAGTGATTAGATTTGGACTGCGGGACTTTCTGGAAGCAACAAACAACTGGCTCAGGATGCCTCTGCCAGCAAAAACAAAGCTCCTTCCCGAGCTCTGTTTTTGCTGGCAGAGGGTTGCAGGAGGTTGTCGCAGCTGAAAACGGAGCTCGGAAGCCCATTTTCACTGGCAGAGCACTCAGGTCACCAGAGGCGCCCCTAACACGAGTGACGTTGAGCTGGCCATGCCCCCCCAGCTCCTCAACCCTGATGCAGCCCTCAGTGAAATCAAGTTTGACACCCCTGCTCTGGTCACTGTCCCCCCTCACTTGATCAGTTTGTTTCCACTGCCTGCTGCGTCTGGTACCCTATCTAATCACTGGCTCGTCCACTCACCCAGATCAGCTTCTCTCCTCCATCTGCTGATGCATTTGTCACCCCCTCTGATCACTAGCTTGCCCGCTCACCCATATCATTCGCTATCTGCTTGTGTGTCTGGTGCCCCCTCTTATCACTGCTCACCCACTCACCTTATCAGCTCTTCTCCACTGTCTCCTGGTGCGTCTGGTGCCCCTTCTGGTCACTGGCTCATCTACTCAACTGGATCCGCTTGGCTCTGCTGTCTGCTGTGGCATCAGGTGCACCCTCTGATCACTGGCTCACCCACACACCTGAATCAGCTAGTCTCTTCTGTCTGCCATGTGTCTAATGCCCTCTCTTGTCACTGGCTCACCCACTCACATGGATGAGCTTGTCTCCACCATCTGTTGCACTTCTAGTGCCCTCTCTGCTCACTGGCTCACCACTCACCAGGATCAGCT